GCTCTCTCTGCATCATATAACTAACTAATAATATGCCAACTAAATATGAAATTGTATGACCAGCAAGAAAAGATGGAGAACAAGGGAGAGTGGAGAATACAGGCCATGATGTCACATCACCACATACTGTACATCTTAGTCCTTCCCCAGAATATCCTCTGCTCTGAAGTTACCTGAAAGCAGTGTTCATATGCTGATCTTCCAATAGGAACAATAAAAGGAGGAACCCAAAAAACAATTAGTAATAGTAAAGTTAAGCAATTTTATTACCTACTAACTAAATGAGAATATCACATGTATTTTTTTAAATAAAGATTTAAAGAAACTGTAATAAATGTTTATTGGTTCATTTTAAATATTACAAAAGAGGTAAACCAACCATTTATTGCCTAAGAGAAAATTACAACTATCCTGGTCACTTGGTGGTGGTGGTTCAGAAACTTGCCAAACAATTCTTAAAAAAATGGGTCAAAGTTCTGAATTGAACTTTCTAATTTTTTAGGAAGGAAGGAAAAGAAAACTGCAAGTGATTAAAAAATATTTATGGAAAGGAAAAATACTGCAAATAAGCACGTAAACCACTTGATATTTCTATGATTTTACCTGCAATCTTTTAAGCTGGCGACAAAGCTGCTTTATCAGTCATAAAACTAATATGTTGCTATGGTAATCCCAAACAATTCACAATACACAAGGACACAGAGAGTAAGCAGGAACCCAGGGAGCCAAGAATCTCTAAGATTTGCTCCCAATGTGATCTCTTGTACTCATGTCTTTTCAGGGCTTTGACAAGCTGTCATAGGCTAGTGCATATGTGAAAGTCATTTATCTTTGATCCTGAGCTAAAAAACAAAAAATATTAAAATACGTAATTGTAGTAGTTAGAAAACTTTTGAACTTAGCTTCAAAATTGAAGCTAAATCCTTAAATTTTATGTTATATATACATTGAGAAATAAAAATTACAGCAAACCGGCAAAACATCTCCAGCACTATTAAAACATTCTAACTAAAAACCGCTTATGTTTTAGTAAGTGATTGCCAATAGCTAATTTCTGCTTTGGCTCATGCTGCTGTTGCTTTAGCTGTCAAAGTGATGCTGTCCAGGCTGCTTGCATAAACAAATTAGCCATCATAGACATAGCGCAGGAGCAAACAAAAAATCATCAATGGATCCCACTAACAGTCTTAACATTTTTTAATCTGTTGAAAAGACTGTCAGAAAGAAAGGATAACTCGTGAAATGTATTAATAACTTTTAAAGGTGTATCATTCAGATTGTTTCTTATGGGTACTGTCATTTTAATAAACATGACTTTATGCTGCTCTGAAATTATTGAGGGGTGTGATAAACTCTTTATATATAAAACACACATAGGACAGCTGAGTGTACCAGCTCGTCTATACTTTCTCGGTCTCCAGTTCCCCTGCTATTCACACTACTATTTCCGCCTTACTGTTTCCATTTCCACTTTTTTTGTAGTCTTCACTGCAGGCCTGCTTACTGTATCTCTCATTTTTTTCTTACTATGTTTATTAGGTGTCCATCAAACGTGTTCCGCAGTAAGTCTTCTTCCTACTATCATAGCCAGCATGCCTAAAATAATCTGGGCCCACTCATTCAGAATCTGACTGCAGTCTTTTTTCCTTGTTCAGTACAGTATTCATATTGCAATGAACTGAAATGAACACAGGCTAAATTTATAAACTATATCACAAGTGTAATAAAAGCGCCACACACCCTTAATACTTTAAAGCAGCAATTCCACCTCAAAGAAACCAAATACATTTCTTAGTGCTATAACTTAAATAAAGGAATGCGCTAAAACCACAAACTATTCCTAATTTAGTGTAGAAACATTAGTGCAAAAGATATATATATATATCTATTCTCAATTAATATCAAAAAATATCAAAATTATGTGCAAAACTATTTTTTAGTGCATAAGTAATTTAAATAATTAAATTTGTGAATATAAAAATTGTCCAATTTTGAATTTCTTCAAATGTCCAAACAAATCCTTTTCAAATTCAAGTGCTCTCAAAGAAATTGTGCCAAAATCCACCACCAAAGTAAAGTTGGGTAACTCACCAGAGCTCCATGCTGATCAATCTCTAGATCAGCCAAAAAAAAACGCTTTTTGCTCTGGGAGCAGATGCAATGAATCAACTTCTCAGGTGTGAAGATCAATAGCTACACAATCATCCATAACGTAGGTATCCACCACTCAATATAACGGTTCCAGGAGCATTATATCACTCTCTCTTTTTATATCTCTCCACCGAGGTCATGTTTGGGAATGAAAGAAAAAATCATGGTGCAGCCAGTTTTTTTTTATAAGAGTATCCAACAATTTAATAAAGATTTACACTCACAAAAAGGGTGTCTTCATCGACACCAGTATAACAGCATAAAACAGCAAGTGGTATAACAGTCTCCTGTTCCCCACACACTCACTACAGGCTCGTGACTCAATCCTCTTCTGACGTCAGCATCCAGCAAGCCCTACTAGTTTCGTTATAAATGACGTCTTCAAGGGGAGGTCCCTTGAAAAATATAGTAGATAACACTGAAGTTACACTTCAGGTAGGAGGAGAACCAAGACAAAGTAGAGTCACAGATGCCAAGGAAGTGCAGTCTTTTGGGGAGCAGTGGTGGTCAGTTGTATCAAAAGCAGCTGAAAGGTATATGAGTATGTGTATGAAGCAGTGGACATTGGTTTTAGCTGTTAGTAAGTTGTTAGTTTTAGTAGGGCAGTTTTAGTGACAGGTTTTGGGCGAAACCCAGATGTAGGGGGTCAAGAAGATTGCTATCAGTGGGGTGGCTGCTCAGACAGTTGTAGACAGGCATTCAAGAAGTATGGAAGGCTGTTCAAACTAGTGGGATCCATTGGGGTTTTGTTTACATATGGGGTGACCAGTGCATATTTGAGAGGGATGGGGAAGATGCAGATGTAGAGGGAGAGATTGGACATGTGAGTTATTGATCAAAGAGTAAAGTAGGAGAGCAGTTTAGCGATTTGCTCAGTGGTAACATAGTCAGAAGAGGAAAGTGTTGAGTGTGTGGGTTGGGGGAGATAACTGGCAAGACACCCCCCCAACATGTTGAGGGCATGTGGCCAGGTATGGCTCAGGAGGGGTGTGCCCGCTGCAGATTGCATCCTTAGATTAAGGATCTGCTTTGGATTTTTAGGGAGATCTCATAAATTTTTTGTTGCTTTTTGTGTGAGGCTCTACATTAAAATTCACACCAGACTAAGGGTATCTGTTTCTTGGAGGACCTCAGGCACTATTTTTTGTTTTTTTGCAGGAGGAAGCTCCTTAAGATCCATACCAGACTCAAAGGCTCTGCTATGCATTTTATTCTTTCTGTAGGATGTGCTACAAAGAAAAAGAAAGGACTATATTTAAATTGCTGGAAAATTAAATTTAGTTCCTGGCTTCTTTAAAAAAAAATGGCACACAGACCCTACCAAAGGTCCCCCAAATATTTTTACTTTTACTGGGGTTCATGTTCAGCATCTGACCTTCTTTGAAGTTTGCTGAAACCTGCTCAAGTTGAACCCAGGGCAGTTCAGCTCATCCCTAGTGTAGAATATGCCCTGTCTGCATTATCTAAAAGTCCAAAAGGAGGGCACTGGATTTCTTCAAAAATCTTCAAAGAACACAAAGTAAGAAAATATAATAGTCAACACAGCACTGGAATATACAGTATAATATGCCTTATATACAGTATAACATCATATCTCAAATAATATGCATTGAATAGCACTGCACTGTCTAGAGAAGGAAAGGGCAGAAGGCCTAGCCTACAAGCAATCATAACCAGTGTGCAAACATGACTAAGCAGATTGAAAGTACCAATTACTTTGTATTTCTTTTATAACTGATTGCAGAATATTCAACCATATGGAATGGACTGATATGGAATAAAATAGGTACAGCACATGAGTTTGTATGGAATAGGAAATGTACAGCACAGAGTACAGAATAAGACACTGCAAAATAGGAATGTACAGCACAGCGTTCAAAATGAAGCATTGTGGGAACATTTACAGCACACATACAAATGTGGATGTTTTGGAATAGGAAATGTACAGCACAGTGTTCAACATATAGCAGTGTGGAATATGGAATCTACAGAACAGCATAGTGAAGTGAAGTACTGTGTATGAAATGTACAGCACAGTGTTCAACATTTAACAGTGTGGAATATGGGATCAACAGAACAGCATAGTGAAGTGAAGTACTGTGTATGAAATGCACAGCACAGTGTTCAACATATAGCAGTGTGGAATATGGAATCTACAGAACAGCATAGTGAAGTACTTTGTATGAAATGCACAGTACAGTGTACAGAAAAAGAGTCACTGCGGGAAACTGCACAGTGAATTTTTAGCACGGCTGTGGCCTTGACCACTGAGAGGCAACAGGGACCAGCCTTTTTTATGGTTATGGAAGTACATGCTCCCCTGCCCAGTCCACCACTAGTCTAAAATGCTGAAGCAAAACTCAGCAGATCGATAAACAGTTAAAATATGTTAATTTCTTTAAAGTGTTACTAAACCCACAACAGTAAAATCAGTCTTTATATGCAGTAAAGCATGCTTGCTATACTCACTGTGGAACCTAAGGGATTAATCCTCCACATTGTGTAAAAAAGGATGTTTGATCCTGTCTTCTCTGATCCTCCACTTCTTCTACTGTCTACTGATAAGCACAGAGCCTTGGGGGCAAGCTGCATGTGCTCAATTTGGTGTTTATTGCTAGAAAGTTTTTTTTTTTCTTGGGAGAGTGCATGTGATCAGCACAGGGCCAATCAGGGGAGAATGAAAACTCTTCTTACAAGCTTTAACCAGTGCTCTGCAGGACACTGATAGAATTCACAAGGCTGCTCTAACTGCTGATGAGAAAAGGTATTTAGCAGTTTAAATTTACAAGAATACCGTATTTCTTGCTCCATATGACGCACTTTTTTCCCCCAAAAAAAATGGGGTAAAATGTCTGTACGTCTTATGGAGCGAATATGGAGTGGCCGGATCGGTATTCCCGCCACCACTGTATTAGAATACCGGGCTGGCCGCTCGGCTCTTCTGTGCAGCAGAACCTGCTCCTCGGTCCTACCTGTTCCTTGGTCCAGCAGTGTCCTCACCATCTTCTCTCCATGGCGCCGGCATCTTTAGTGTGGGCACCCAGCTGTGACAGCTTGCGGCTTCACAGCCGGGTGCCCACTGCGCATGCATGAGAAGTGCTGTGCTTTGTGAATGGTCCGGCAGTCTTCTGGGATCTGTCATGTGTCCCAGAAGATGGGTTGGGAGGACAACTCCGCGGAAGTGGGAGCAGGTACCTGTCAAATTCGGGTACCCGCTCCCTCCCCTTCCGCTCCCCAAAGGTCTGCAGTCTCTGGTCATTTCCTGGACCGTGTCCACCGTCTCTGGTCTTCTCATGTACTATGTCCACAGTCTCTGGTCATCTCCTGTACTATGTCTGCAGTCTCTGGTCATCTCCTGTATTATGTGTGCAGTCTCTGGTCATCTCCTGTACTATGTCTGCAGTCTCTGGTCATCTCCTGTATTATGTGTGCAGTCTCTGGTCATCTCCTGTACTATGTCCGCAGTCTCTGGTCATCTCCTGTATTATGTCCACAGTCTCTGGTCATCTCCTGTACTATGTCCACAGTCTCTGGTCATCTCGTGTACTATGTCCGCAGTCTCTGGTCATCTCCTGTATTATGTGTGCAGTCTCTGGTCATCTCCTGTACTATGTCCACAGTCTCTGGTCATCTCCTGTACTATGTCCGCAGTCTCTGGTCATCTCCTGTATTATGTCCGCAGTCTCTGGTCATCTCCTGTACTATGTCTGCAGTCTCTGGTCATCTCCTGTACTATGTCCGCAGTATCTGGTCATCCCCTGTAGTATGTCCGCAGTCTCTGGTCACCTTCTGTAGTATGTCTGTAGTCTCTGGTCATCTCCTGTACTATGTCCGCAGTCTTTGGTCATCTCCTGTACTATGTCTGCAGTCTCTTGTCATCTCCTGTACTATGTCTGCAGTCTCTTGTCATCTCCTGTACTATGTCTGCAGTCTCTGGTCATCTCCTGTACTATGTCCGCAGTCTCTGGTCATCTTCTGTAGTATGTCCGCAGTCTCTGGTCATCTCCTGTACTATGTCCGCAGTCTCTGGTCATCCCCTGTAGTATGTCTGCAATCTCTGGTCATCTCCTGCAGTATGTCTGTAGTCTCTGGTCATCTCCTGTACTATGTCCGCAGTCTCTGGTCATCTCCTGTACTATGTCTGCAGTCTCTGATCATCCCCTGTAGTATATCCGCAGTCTCTGGTCATCTCCTTTACTATGTCTGCAGTCTCTGATCATCTCCTGTAGTATTTCCGCAGTCTCTGGTCATCTCCTGTACTGTGTCAGCAGTCTCTGGTCATCTCATGTCCTGTTTTTGCAGTCTCTGGTCATCTCCTGTACTATGTCCTTAGTCTCTGGTCATCTCCTGTACTATGTCCGCAGTCTCTGGTCATTTCCTGTACTATGTCTGCAGTCCATTGGTTCAGAATATTTTTTTCTTGTTTTCCTCCTCTAAAACCTAGGTGCGTCTTATGGTTAGGTGCGTCTTATGGAGCGAAAGATACAGTAATTGCATTTCCATGTTCTATGTACTGTGGTAAACTGGATATAGTGGATGCAAGGTACTGGTTTTAGTAACACTTTACCTGCAGTTAATCAATAAAATCTGGTTCAGGACTCTCTCAAGCCTGTGACTGGACAAAAAATGAGCAGCAGCGTACCAATGAGGTCACTTTTCTGCTCCTTCTTCTGGAACCATTTCCCTAATTTTAGACAAGAAGCACTGTGCAAATCAACACAGTCCTCAATCACTCAGAGTGCTGCCTTCCCTCTCCCAGTCCAAATGCTGTTTTACAAGGTTTTACAGGAGGCTGATCGCAAGATTTAGGAACTCATACTAGGGCTATGTAAAGTATATATTTAATTATTTTTAATAAATACATAAAAATATTTAGTTGTGTTTGGTATTTATCTGGAATTCACCTTTTATTAGTAACAGCCAAGTAAATGTATAGGCAGCAAAAGTAAGTTGCAGGGTTATAGAAAAATACATGAAGATGACCAAAAAGATAAATAATAATAAGTACTTACCTACCTCCATGCTACCTCTCATTCTCCTCTTGTCCTTTTCATGATGCCTCTCTGCTGCATTTGCCCTTGCACCTGCGTCACCAGTTTGAAAATGATTTCCAAGGTTAGCTCACAATAGTCAGTGCACATGTGCGAGATGAACTGCATGGTGTGTGCTGTACAACATTACATTCATCTGTTTAAAAAAATGGCCTTCCCCTAAGGTCTCACCAGATCTTGGGGAAGTTGTTTTTTTTTTTCAACGATGAATGTAGTGTCATACAACCCATGCACGAGATGACCTGCATGACGTCATGCTCTCCATTTTTTGCATGTGTAGTACAAACATACTGTGAGATCTCACAGGTTAGGTAACATATCTCCCTGCATGGTAGCCAATCAGCTTCTAACTTCTAACTTGTTCAATTAAGCTTTGACTAAAACCTGGATTCTGACTGGTTTCTATGCAGACCTGCACCACTTTTAGTAAATCTCTGCCAGTGTGTTAGATGAATTTCCGTGACATAGGAGAAAGATGTGTGCTAGGCTCTTGTGAAGAATTATGTGCGTAGATATATCAAATATTCAAAGACGAAAGACACATCCATTGGCCCCCATATGAATTTTCAAGCTTTCTCATGGCACTATGGGTATTTAAAAATATACAGTATTTGTACAACTTATTAATCAAATGCTGCAGTTTAGGTGATCCATCTGCACTACTCCCTACAAGGTTGTGTTTAGAGATAAAAGGCAGATATGCTTTTGTGGTTTGAAAATAACATACATTTGTGATGAAAAGTAAAAGATAATAGTTATGTTGCCATGTTCAGCAGCTATTAGACTTTAAAGCATGATTCCTAGATACACAAGGCAATATTAATAAGGTAGGGGAGGATAGACATGCTGGATTTTTTTTTCCAACTGTTTTATGAAAGAAGTCTACTTTGCAATTTATTTAGATGTGCATGTTCCTTGCTCATTCCTAAGCCAACTGTGAGATGGAAGCATGTACATTTTAAGAAAATATAGAACATTTCTCAATATACTGAATAAGTATGCAGATAGCATCATAAAAACAGTAGAAGGAAATTCAATCTAGTGGTATCATTTTAATGAGAACGATAAGAGCAAGAAAAAAAAAAAAAGGTATATAGCGCCACCCTCATGAGGGCTGCTGTGTTTTTGGGTCCCCTTAAGCTTTGCACAGCCTAGCAACATGCATTTTCCACACTTGCATCCACAGTCAGTGAATAGTCCATGAGCTTGGTTTTTTATATTTTGTCAGGGGAAATAACTTGGATGGGGTAATAGGGATTATGGGATGCCCAACTTGACTGAATCAGTGCACAGGGAGAACTTCCTTCCTATTTAAAGAAAAAGATCCTGGTCTGTTCTTCTCCTTGAATGCAGTCAGTCTTTATAGACCAGTAGCAAAAGCCCCTTACGGGCTAGGGACTCAGAGCCCCTCTGAAAGTTAGCACAGATTGTTTCAAATTACATGCAGAAGTATCTCCTCTCCAGACAATACCAGCCCTCCTGGTTACTCTGAAGATCTCCGAGGACAAGGATGAATGATTAAGCACAGTGCTGTTCTTTGAAATATTGATACATGTGGATCCCTGGGTGTGCTGCTGTACTCACTCTGTCCTCTTTGCTCCCACTACTCCCAGGCATTTATCCTGCTCATACTGTGATGCTGAATGGATCCTCCTAAGCAAGCTAGAGCCCAGATTAGAGGCCAGCCCCCCTAGACCTAGGGGACCCCACCCAAGCCACCAACAGCCGCCTCAGCACTCCATCTTCTGCCTGACTCCCCTGCTAGCATGACTCTCCATTTTTCTTAGGTCAGCCTCACTACACAACTAGGGACTCCAAACCTGGGTTTGGTTGGACTCTCATAAACATGCAAATTTATGTCTCCATCCCTTCCACCCACTGGCTTCTGGAAGCTTCAATGGTCCTCCAGAGCCAGGTTGAGGTAATAGGGTCTTAACCTGCTGAGTCATCCAGCCTGACCTGCAGTAGCCCGACCTAATCACAGACTCACACAGTTACCATGAGTCACACCACAATAAGTTTACCTACACTAACACTAATCACACACAGGTACATTTGATTTAGCAAAGTTTAATAAAGGAGGTAATTTTTTAAAGCTAAACACTTGATTTAGCAGGGAAACAAAGAAGTAAGGCAAACAGCAGTAAGGTGAAACTGTCAAATGTTTAACATGGATAACATTACTATTTCTTTACACACAGCTTTGTAATTCATCATTTTTCCAGCAATCCATTTATAACTTCTTTTATTGTCAATAAACATTTTTTTTTTGGTTGAAAAGCAGAAGGCTTGGCATGGCTTTTGCATGGAAATCTTGTCTCTTGGCAGATTATTTAAACTGTTAAGTTGATACAGAATGTCTCTCCTTTCCAATTTTGTATGCTGATTATGTAATATGAACAGAAATGCTGAAGCCCACATTAAATTTTATTTTATTATTTAGTTTTATATTCTATTTACAGATAAGCTTAAGACACCTGGTAGTTATACAGAGACTCCGACATTTACCTCTGTTTCCCATTCTATGCTTGGCACTCTGAGCTGCTCATCCGATGAGGTTTTCCAGGTACCTGTAATTCCCTCTGAAGTCAGACTTTGGCAAGCTGTATATTTGATTTAATTACAATAGTTTGTGGGTATGTGCTTCCCACTGCTTTCTTGAACTGCTGCCATTTGCAGAAAAGCACAGTACTAATTTACTATGGGCAAGTAACTTATGCTGGCAGCTTCCTGCTGGTTATGGTTTGGTCATGCAAACATCCACAGGGCAGTCGTGCCATTTTACTTTGGTCCTAAATGACTGACACTTTAAAGTGTTGGGATGCTGGCCGGCTAAACCACAGTTCAGATATCATCCAGTGCCACAGCCACAAAGGTTATAACGGATGCTCCAGGTTATAAAAGCATTACATCTAATATTCACATGCATGTACAGTTGTGTTTAAAATTATAGCAGTCAGACATTACTAACCTGACCAATCACTGTTTTTGGTAGAAATTATATTTCTACATGGCAAATAATTTACAAGCAGGTGTAGTAGAGTAATAGAAATCCAACAGACCCAACAGTCATGACATGCATGCTGCTGATTCTGTGTAATTGAATCACTAATTGAAAGGGGCATGTTCAAAATAATAGCAGTGTGGAGTTCTATTAGTGAGGTCATTCATTCTTTGAAAAACAGGTGGCAATTATTGCCTTTATTTAAGGAAGGAAGGCAGCAAATGTTGTACATGCTGGTTACAGTGCATTCCTCTCTGAAATTCTGAGGAAAATGGGTCCTTCCAGACATTGTTCAGAAGAACAGCGTACCTTGATTAAAAAGTTGATTGGAGGAGAGGGGAAAACATATAAAGAAGTGCAGAAAATGATAGGCTGCTCAGCTAAAATGATCTCAAATGCTTTAAAATGGCAACCAAAACCTGAAAGACGTGGAAGAAAGTGAAAAACTACCATTCGAATGGATAGAAGAATAGCCAAAATGGCAAGGACTCAGCCAACAATCAGCTCCAGGAAGATCAAAGAAGGTCTAACGTTACCTGTGAGTACTGTTACAATTAGAAGACGCCTATGTGAAGCCAAGCTATCTGCAAGAAGCCCCCGCAAAGTCCCACTGTTAAAAAAAAGACATGTGCTGAAGAGGTTACAGTTTGCCAAAGAGCACATTGACTGGCCTAAAGAGAAATGGCGCAACATTTTGTGGACTGATGAAAGTAAGATTTTTCTTTTTGGGTCTAGTGGCAGGAGACAGTTTGTCAGACGACCCCCAAA